ACTGTCATCAAGAAACTTCTACGAATTACGTGCCATGGTCTCTGACAGGCATTCTACTCGTTTATATAACTCCCTCCCAATGGAGAGGGTCAGAACGATTCTAACTCACACTTACCCTTATCCGCATGAGCATTCACGTCATGCTATCATTGCTGTATTTTTTGGTTGCCTATTCTTTATTTCTTCGGATAACATGCACACCCTCATAGAAAAGTTTTCAGTCAAGTGGTGGTCCATGTATGCATGTTTGCTCGGATTTTTCTACTTCTTTTCTTCTCCATTTATCCAGAAGACCATCAGACCAAATTATTCAAACTTCAGTCGGTGGTAAGCCATTGTTAATTCTATCTTCTGAACTTATCAAATATCAGCTTTCACTCTTTGAAATTTCCTAATTCCGTTTTTCCTTTTTGTTTTGGGTGTAGGTACATTGCTTGGATTTTAGTTGCAGCTTTGTATCATCTTCCTAATTTTCAGTCAATGGGTTTGGATTTGAGGATGAATTTGTCCTTGTTTCTAACAATTTACATATCATCCATACTCTTCCTTGTTGTCTTCCACATCATTTTTCTTGGACTTTGGTATGTTGGTCTCGTTTCTCGCGTGGCTGGAAGACGCCCAGAGATCTTAACCATTCTTCAAAACTGTGCTGTAAGCTCACTGTTGCCAGTTTTTCACATGAAGCCATTTTTTTTTTTTAAATGTCTTTCGTATAAAAATTATTGTCTTCATGTTTTTGGCTTGTGCAGGTTCTTAGCATGGCTTGCTGTATATTTTACAGTCATTGTGGTAATCGCGCTGTTCTGAGGGAAAAACCACATGGAAGACAGTATTCTAGCTGGTTTTCGTTCTGGAAAAGGGAACATAGGAACAACACCTGGCTTGCAAAATTCATTCGTATGAATGAGCTGAAAGACCAAGTGTGTTCGTCGTGGTTTGCTCCAGTTGGATCTGCAAGCGACTATCCACTTTTATCCAAATGGTTCATTTACGGGGAGGTATCTCTTCTTAAACTGTTCTAGTGAGTTGTAAATATGTTTTATGTGTTCACCCTTTAATAGTCCGATACCTACCTTCCTATTTGTAGATTGCATGCAACGGATCATGTCCTGATTCATCTGACGAAATTTCTCCTATATACTCCTTGTGGGCCACATTTATTGGTCTTTACATTGCCAATTATGTAGTGGAGAGATCAACAGGGTAAGTAGCATCTATGACATAATACCTGTCAGCTTAATATTGCAGTTGAGGATCAACAGTAACATTTATATGAACAGCTTTGTTCTTTCATTCAAATGAATGCTGAATCTTATAAGTTTTAATATACTGTTAAGGTGGGCTCTGACACACCCTCTATCAGTTGACAAATATGAGAAGCTGAAGAACCAGCAATTGAAACCTGATTTCTTAGATATGGTTCCTTGGTATTCAGGGTACGTCAATGCTAAACTAATATTCCCCCTTTCTGCTTACCATTTTTTATTGTGGCAAAAGATGAAGGCAGGACACTTGACCAGGTGCTGACCTATCTCATTATATATTTCAGAACATCGGCTGATTTGTTTAAAACTGTATTTGACCTCCTTGTGTCAGTCACAGTATTTGTTGGCCGCTTTGACATGCGGATGCTGCAGGTAGACATTTTAAACTTGTGATATGATATTATCAGGTCGTTCCTCTCTCTCTGCAGATAGACATTCGAGATAATTGAATTCAACGTTTTTTTGCTCTTTTCCTTCGTGCCAAATCATTAGGCTGCAATGACCAAATCTGGTGATGCAAGTGGTAGAAAGGAACTTTTATATGATCACCTTGCTGAGAAGAAAGATTTTTGGTTTGATTTCATGGCGGATACTGGTGATGGTGGGAACTCATCATATAGTGTTGCGAAGCTTCTTGCTCAGCCTTCTCTCAAAGTTCCAGTGGCTGATAATTTTCTATCTCTTCCACGGGGAAATGTACTACTTATTGGAGGAGATCTTGCGTAAGTGCTTTACTTATAATTGTATATATTTACATATTCGCAACGTTTTTTCAAATCTAACCATGGATGTCTTTCTCCAGATACCCAAATCCGTCAGCTTTTACATATGAAAAACGTCTCTTTTGTCCTTTTGAGTATGCAATGCAGCCACCCCGTTGGTATAAAAATGACTCTATTGCTGTTGATAAGCCTGAATTACCTAATGGAGTGTCTGATCTTAAGAGTTATGAAGGTCCTCAATGTTTTCTAATCCCTGGAAACCATGGTGAGTTCCTAATCTCATCTTCATTTCAGATAATTTGTCTCACATAGCTGCATCATACTCGGTTTCTTCTTTCGTCTCCTCTAATAATAGAGTTATTTATTATTATTTCATAGACTGGTTTGACGGACTGAATACTTTCATGAGGTATATATGCCATAAGAGTTGGTTAGGCGGCTGGCTAATGCCCCAGAAGAAAAGCTATTTTGCCCTGCAGCTACCTAAGGGATGGTGGGTGTTTGGTTTGGATCTTGCACTTCATGGTGATATTGATGTCGACCAATTCAAATTCTTTTCCGAATTGGTGAAGGGCAAGGTAGTATGAGTATCACTTTTCATTTCCATCCTTTATACAGGATTTGTAGATGTAATGTAAATATTTTTGTCACCTAGTCAGAGGTGTACCATTGTTTGCTTTACTCTGGTACAGATTTGTGATGACTTTTGTTTCTGAAATGCTTATAACAAGTGGTTTAGGCTATATTTTAGTGGCTTCGTCTTTTCATATACTCAATTTTCATATTGCTACTTTAATAAAATTAATACTTTCTCATTCAGGTGGGCGAGAATGATGCGGTGATCATTATCACGCATGAACCAAATTGGCTTCTTGATTGGTACTGGAGCTGTGATACAGGGAAGAACGTGAGACATTTGATATGCGACGTTTTGAAATACAGGTGCAAACTTAGAATGGCAGGGGATTTGCATCATTATATGCGGCATTCGTGTAGTCAATCAGATGGACCTGCCCATGTCCAACATCTTCTTGTTAATGGCTGTGGAGGAGCTTTCCTGCATCCCACCCATGTGTTCAGCAAATTTTCAAAGTTCTATGGGGCATCTTATGGAAGCAAGGTTGCCTACCCCTCTTTTGATGATTCAAGCAAAGTAAGTTTCCTATCACGAACTTGTCTTGTTTATAACTTTTCATAGCATTCGTATATTAAATGGTGTTTTTTGCTGTCTGCAGATTGCATTGGGAAATATTTTGAAATTCCGGAAAAAGAACTGGCAGTTTGATTTTATTGGTGGGATTATATATTTTATCTTGGTCTTTTCATTGTTCCCTCAGGTACGTATTAAGCTTGTCCTATTTAAAGTTTAAAGTTTAAACATTGCACAACATGCAGTAATAGATTGGGAAGCTAAAATTGGTTTTATATATGAAATATCCGTTCTTTTTGTTTCCTGAGGTTTGCATATATGTCGATTTGATTTTTCCTTGAGAACCATCATATAGGCTCACTTCTCACAAGAAATCTGAAATCTTATTCCTTCTTGTTCCTCGTTTATTTCAGTGTAAGCTAGCTCACGTCTTACGAGGTGATTCGTTTTCTGGTCACCTGGAGAGTTTCTTAGGCACAGTTTGGAATGCCTTTGCGTATGTGATGGAACAATCTTATGTGTCTTTTACCGGTGTCATGATGTTGCTGATAACTGCAATCACATTTGTCCCCTCAAAAATATCTCGGAAGAAACGTGTTGTAATTGGAGTTCTTCATGTTGCTGCACACCTGATGGCAGCTCTGATTCTTATGTTGATGTTGGAACTGGGCATAGAAATCTGTATTCAGCATAATCTTCTTGCAAATTCTGGTCAGTTTTCGTTCCACATGGTTTTCATACCAAAGTGCATAGTATTATTGTACTGAACTACCATCTTGATTCTTGACTCATCACAATGTCATGGACGCCAACAGATAATTAATGACTGGGTGAAATTTTTTGTGATTTAGCCTTGATTGATTTGTGACTCTTACATTTTTCTTCACACAGGGTATCATACATTATATCAGTGGTACAAATCAGTGGAGAGTGAGCATTTCCCAGACCCTACTGGCCTTCGAGCTCGTATTGAACAATGGACGTTTGGCTTATATCCCGCTTGCATAAAGTATCTTATGTCAGCATTTGATGTTCCTGAGGTAAATAATGTACTGAGTTTTGCTTCTGTTTTTGATTGACCAAAAATCCAATTTGAAAAAATAACCCGAGTGTTTTCACATCAGGTGATGGCGGTTACCCGGACCAACATTTGCAAAGACGGAATGGAATCACTTTCCCGAAGTGGAGCTGTTATCTATTATGCTTCTGTCTTCCTTTACTTTTGGGTCTTCTCAACTCCTGTCGTGTCTATGGTATTTGGAAGCTACTTGTATATCTGCATCAACTGGTTCCACATACACTTTGATGAAGCTTTCTCTTCGCTCCGCATTGCCAATTACAAATCTTTCACCCGTTTCCACATCCTAGAAGATGGAGACATCGAAGTTTTCACGCTAGCAGTTGATAAGGTAAGAACCTCTACTTAGGAAGGTGGTACTTGACACTGCTACTACTAATGAACCAGTCTTTCATTGATTCTGTCATTAGTTCTTATTTATTGGTATCTTAGTTTTAACTGCATGGTTAAGGAACTTTAACCAAAGATGTGTGTATATTATATGAGTTTAGGTGCCAAAGGACTGGAAACTGGACAAAGAATGGGATTCAGAGCCGAAACAGAGTTTCAAGATGAGCTACGAGAGAAAGTATCCAAGTAAATGGTGTGCCCCAACAGCCCAACAAGACCCTGTTAATACCGTAAAGATAGTAGATCGTTTCACGATTCATAGATCAGCAAAAGAAAACGGAGGATGTTAGATATGGATCAGTCATAACTCATTATCCATTTAAATTGTATCGCTCTCTGTGTATAAAATTAGAATGTAATGTAGCCTCTCTGCTTATTGTTTGAGATGAATGAAGTTTGATAGAAAGAAATAATTTTTATTGTCGTTGGATTTAAGTTACAAAATAGATTGGCACAACGCACAACATTCTCTAATAAGCTACGAAGTACCTTTACCCATCCCTCTCTCTCTCTCTCTCTCTCTCTCTCTCTCTCAACCATACAACAATTTTTTGCCTTTAATCAAAGCCTTCTTATAGAGCCTTCCTAATATTACAAATCAAGGAAAAAATAGAGAGAGAGGACGACTCATAAAAGCTTTTAAAAGTTACAGTGAAGATCTCAACCTTGTTAAGGGCATTTTATGAAGAAGGGGCGTATTCATGGATGGCCGTTGCTAATTTATCTCTGGCTTCTGCAGTCTTTGTCCTTATCAGGAAGGTTCTTGGCGTTACATTCTCATTGGAATCCTCCTGTTGCAGGGTAGGCAAAATCAGATAAACTACAAAACCAACCTGAAAACTAAACACTAAAAAAGAAGCTTCAGCAGCTTTTATTTACCGAGGAGTGGAATATTGCAACAAGGGCGTTCTTCGATGGGCTCGTCTTGATTCCAGCGTACAGTAGTGCATTCAGGAGCAGTTTTCCAACCTGACAAGAAAATAGGCTTAAAATGTTGGAGATATATCGACCAATTTGAATGTGAGGTGTGTCTACTGAATCATACATCGTTTCGGACAAGAATTGTGGGTTTTGATTCTTTTGTCCCCTTGTCGATGCCTTCTTTGCATTTTATGTAAAGATTCCCTGTTCCTTTATCTTTCCAACCTTTATCAGATGGGTCATTTGACTGCACAATAACATACATACAAAGCTTAAAACGTCAGCAAGAACATCAAAAAGATAACTAAAGTAGAGAAAATAAACTAATTCACAAGTACTATGACACCTAAAGAGGAATTTGAGAATGATTAGGAAAGAACATTTTTATCTTTAACCTTTATGGTCCCATACGTGATGCCAAATTCGATATGCTTATTAATATTACATCACACAATATGTACAAACAACAGCAACATTTTATGAAACAATATAGTGAGAGCTGCTGAAACAGGGAAGGTTATAGTAGAATAACGGAAAATAACATCAACGTTTTTAGCCAGCAAAATACCTTTACATAAAGTTTGCATTTGACTTCATGAACCACAGTAACACCCTTTTCTTCAGTCTTTTTGACCGATGGGCTGCTCGGTTGAGGTTGTTCATCTTCTGCCAAGTCAAAAAAATCCAACGTTTACACTGTTATGCCTCATTTCTTATAGATAATTTCCTCTAGGTAAGTTGTAACTTCAGCATAGAAAAATATAACAAGATCGTGGTTTAAAAAAATTTGAGGAACACAAAATTGGAAGATAACAATATACTGATCAACTTACCACCATCTGCATCATCTGCAGAATCTCGCTTTACCGCTGTGGACACTGGAGCTACTAATACCAGCAAATAAAGAAAAGAGAAGTTAGGTCTGAATATACAAAGCTGATCAACGACGAGTCCAATATTCTGCCAATTGAACAAGTAGATACCTCCAGATGAATAAGTGGTTTGATTATTCGAAAATGGGAAAGGAGGTTGGCTATTAGAGACTGCTCCTACTTGACTGCTTGAAAATAGGCTCGGTTGGCTGCTTTTAGCCAAACCCGTCTGGCCACTGCTAAAAAACCCAGTCTGGCTATTAGAGACTGCTCCGGCTTGACTGCTGGAAAATAGGCTTGGTTGGCTGCTTTTAGCCAAACCAGTCTGGCCACTGCTAAAAGACCCAGTCTGGCTATTAGATGTTGAACCAAATGGACTGTTGGAGAATGCTCCAGGTTGGCTTGAAAACAAACCAGACTGACTACTGGAAAAATTGGAAGATTGATTGTTTGAGAAGAGCCCAGGTTGACTGTTTGAAGCAAATAGGCTATTATTTGAAACTGATTTAAGATCGCTATTCTTGACTTCAGCCACAATTTTCTTCTCTGCTCCACGAGATTCAGGGGATACATTTTCCCCCTTTCCCTTATTTTCTTTCAGCCAGTTGACGACATCCTTAAACTTTTCCTGCACAAGAATCGACATGAAACAGTAAACTGATTAGCTAGTGTACTGAACAAAAGGTCTAGCACAAAACAAAGCAAGAGACTGGAAGAGTAAGCTACTCTATCCTTTCAATATAAATGGACAGCGTAACCGAAGACTATAAGACATACTAAATAATTAGCATTCTTGATTAGTAAATCAAAACAGGATAAACCAGGTACATTGTTATACGTTAAGAAAAATTAAAGTATTTGAAATTCATGTCATTAAGAGTATTTACCAGAATGTTTGAAGCATGCGCAATGTAGTCATTCATCCCATCTTCCCAGAGTTCATCAGGATGATTCTTCAGCTGTAACTGAACCCAACTGTTTACACATTGAAGCATAAGCCATACTTATTGAATGTATAAACATAACAAGTTAAATATGTTTTCATAAACTATATAGAATATACCCAACAAGTACAGAGATAATCTTTTTTAAAACACAACTGTTCACCTTACAAATTGGTTATTAAGAGCTCTCACATTCTTTCTAGCTAACTCAGCCCTTTGCTTATCCAATGATGCTGATGTTAATGAACTCTGCTGCATCTGTGCCACATTCTTCTGAGTACCAAATAAGGTTCCTTCCATTGGTTTAGCATTCTTAAACTGCAAAAAAAAATCCCCTTTCAAGAACTTAGTTCCATGTATATGAGCTCACAGATTCAATTCGATATCAAACTGCTCTAAAATTCAAAAACTACCTCAGTAATAGATCTAAAGCAACCCCTTTGAGCTAAATCTTATAGTTCCATATACCAATATGGACAATGCCCACAAGCCAGAACTTGTCTACATTATAAAGTTGCCGACTTTATTTATAATCATCAATCACCCAACCAAGAAACACCCCCAAAGTTTCGATCTTTTTCTCTTCTACCGTCGAATCAATGCAAATACTGAATTCTTAACGAGATTCAATCGGCAAAATCAAAACTTTTCTTCTACCCAAAACCAAGAACACAAAAATGAATCGGGAAAAAGACAAAACTCACGGAAGAGTCAATAGAATCGGAGACGGCGGCGCGTTTTACTCCCCTCATGATTGACACAGTCTCGGCTTTTTGCTTAACTCGGTGGAATTAGAATCGGAAGAAACAAAAAGAGGCAGCTACTAAAACGGGGAATTTTTATTTTAGGGTTTATTGTGTCTCTTTTTTTTTTTTCTTGCTTCAATTTTTTTTTTAAAAAAGACAATATGTTGAAAGAGGAGAAGAAGAAGAAGAAAAGAAAAAAAGGATACTCTTTTTAGATGCTTTTTTCCATTGTGGAAAAACTCATCATCCCAACCCCAAATATATTTAAAAAAAAATTCCCATTTTTTTTGTTTTCAGAAGATAAATTTCTATTTTGGGTGATTTCATTCATACCCAATCTATTTTCATGTACTTTTTTGCTCAATAAACATCATATATCCGATGTTTTAATAAAATTGGATTATGGAGAGATAATTGCGATGGTGCATGATCCAGATTTGTGGCATGTCTTTCTAATTTATTTGACGATTTTCAAACAGATTCGTGTATTTTAAGTTTTTTTCTCTAAAATTTCATGCTTTCGTAATTTGAAAACGGATTGTTTAGCGCGCTATTCTAGAGTATCAGACTCCCAAATTTTGTTTACTAATAAGGAAACAATATTTTATTAAAATTTGGCTGAAAAAAAAACTTCATATATGTATTTAGCTCAATAAGGATAAAAATGAATTTCAGTTGCCTATAAAAAATATATCCGATGTATTGAGCTAAAAAAATAAAACTTAAATCGATTTTTCAAAATTTTATATACTGTATATACATAAAAATAAACAATTACTCTTTTTGTTTCACAAAGAATCATTTAACATTTTCACATTAAGAAAAATAAACATATTTTATTTGTATCATTTATTAATACACCATATATTTTTTTCCTCTAATTAATAAATAGAAATAATCGAAATAAAAAATTAAGTCTTTAAAACTGAATTAGAAACACACAAAAAAAAATTATCTGTAAAACAAAATTAAAATTTTTAACAACACTTTTTATGCAATGGAGGAAGTAAAGAAAAAATCAAAAAGAAAAAAAAAAAACACTCATGCGGTCAAGTCGCACGCATGATGTTGACTCTTGTCTGACTCGATTATTATTTTGTAATCGACTTGATGATCTTCGTTCCACTTCCACCAAACTCTTTTTCCAAAACTCACTAAATCATTTTGATGATGATTGGTCACAAATTATGTTTTGGCCGAGTCTCATCATAACTACTTTTTTAATTATGTCTCTAAGTATAGAAAATAGTGTAGGGAAAATCATATTTAGAAAAGAGTGTATGTAATATTCGATAAACAGTACTCAATAATCATCAACGGGAAATGGTCCAATTACATAAAGTTTGGTCGACTATTTTTATTTCTTTTGAACTCTCTTTGAGTCATATTATATGATATTATATGATATATGTAAGAAAGCTGAATTTGGAATCTTTTGACAAATTTAACACAAATCTTTGATACAAAATTCAACACTTCAATTTTTAATAACATGATTTTTCAGTATGAAACTCTATAGTCAATAATGGTTTTATACGATCATATGAAACGTTTTAAATATGCTTTTAATTTAGTTTAGAAGTCATATAATGAGTTAGGAAATTTAGTTCTTTTCCTTTTCAAAATGTATCGTTCTTCTAATTCTGACTATCACTATAAACTATAAGCCAATATATTACATAAACTCTCTTCACTTTCAGAAATATTTTTATTTTTTGACTTATAATATAGTATTCGAAAACATAAACCATAGAGAGTCTAAAGTCAAGAATTCATATTAGGAGTTAGAAAAACAAACAACATATATAATGACTAGACTCTAGTTCTCATTATAGACTTTAGAAATGATAAACGAACATATGACGACCTACATAAGTTTTTATACGAATCATCCCCCTTATGCAAAACTACATATAGTTTTATTGAAATACCATATAATCTAGTACATTATACGAATCTAATCTTTAAAAAAACCACAAAATCTTAACTCCCTCCCAAAAACCAAAAAAACTATAATTTCATCACGAATCTAAGTCGAAGATGAACTCATCCACCAAGGAAGTGAAAAAACCACTAGCCAAATCTTCAACCACACTTTGTTTCTCATCTCCACTAATGCAACCCCATTTCATTTCCTTCACATATACCTCTCTCTTCTCTTTCACTTGCCAACTCACAAACATCTCTTCTTGTCTCCCCATAACCCAATCTTCTACATTCTTTACCATCAATGTCTCCTCTTTTGGCCCGATATCATCTTCTTGAAGATAATCCAACAGTAGATTATCCGCGGCATGAGAAGCTAGTAAGTCGTTTGTTTCGCCAATTCTCTCCTTCACAAGCGCAAACAAGCGGTTTGCGCGTTCTTCTGATTCATCCTCTTCGGTTTCCAATGGATGAAATGAGTACTCTTCTTGTCTCTCTACATAATCCTCTATACGTTTCTCCAAGTCTAGTGGCTCAAGTCGTACCAAACCATTTAATCTCCTGCTTTTTCTAGCAATTTTCTCATATGTATCTGCAAATATTAGCTCATAACATTAATTTACAAATTCACATTTTGGTTTGCTAGATATTAATCAATTGATAGAATTACCATTTTGTTCTGTGATCTCATCAACTTCATTATCATCGTCATCGTCATCCTCGTCGTCTTTAAAAGGGCATTCCAAGATTGATACCGGACTGAGTTGTTCTTTTTCTTCATTCACACATTCCTAAAAAAAGTTTGCATTTAATATCAAATCAACTTCACATGCAATCCACACAAACGTTAAAAAGAAAAATAACTAAAAAGCCTTAAGAAGAAAAAAAAATCACAGTCTAGTGATATTAATAAGTTGATAAAAGTCAACCCATCCCAAGACAACATCATTTATCAATCTATCTGTCTATGCCCCTATCAAATTTATTATGAATCGTATATTCACTTTAGTTTTGATTGAGATATGTGGGGCTTATTATGTTACAATAATATACATAATCAAATCCAAGAATAAAATCATTCAGGATTACATTAGTTAGTAAAAAATCATGAACATGGGTGATACTGATTATATAAAATTAATTTCGTATAATGTCACTAGCTAGCACTACTACTATGTATATGTATGTGGAGATATGGGAATCTAACTAAAAATATATAAATTCTATATAAAATGTGTACACGATAATTTTGACCAGGTGAGTTTAAAATAATTTGGTACGTCAAGTAAAGTACCATGAAACAAAACAAAACAAAAATTAACTCTCTCGCGGGATCATGTGCCGTAAAATATGCATTAGAAGCTACGTAGAAGAATCTTAAAACAATCCAAAATTTGTAAAGATCCTAAACCTCACGTGCCTCGCACGCATTCCCCCGACAAGTTTCAATGCTTTCACACATGTGACAGTTGTTGTTGTTGTAATAAAAACTTTGAAAACGAGAGTTTAACTAACTAGAACTAACCTGTCGGTTACACAGGCTGTTGTTGTTGCGGTTGACAGATGAATCATCACAGTCACGTGGGTTTAAGCTCTCTCCCCTCTCGTTCCCGTCTTCCACGGCTTCGTTTTCGTTCGATACTTCCTCAGATTCACCGCTTGACGACGTAGAGAACGATGAGGAAGAAGATTGTACAACGTCCTCTGATGATGAGTTTGTGAAAAACTCGCTTCCCGAACTCGATGAGTCACCTGAAACAAACTCCTCCACGGTGGTGTTCGCAGCTGAGGAGATTGTGAATGTTGGTTCCTCGACCACTGTGGCCGTGGAGAGCTGCAGAGAGATCAGATCGAACGGTTGATCTAATAAACTCTCTTCAAACGCGACTGATCTCCACCATTGGATCTCTCCATCTCCATCTCCGGTTACTACACGGCGAGAATGACCTAAGGGTTTTCTCCAGAAGCTTTTGCTTAAAAGCCGTTTAGACAAGCTTCTAGAGAAAACAACTGGTTTGTTATTATTATTATTATTATTACAATTACTATTATTATCTCCCTTGGAAGACGGGAACGGTAAAAGTCTAACCGCGTTAAGAAACGCTGTTGAAGCTTTATGAACAGCGTGACTTATCGCGGTTCCACAAGTCGTACGGCTTGATCTTCTAGTGAGACGGGTTTGTTTGCGACGATGATGGTGATGGATCAGTCCTGAACGTTTGATCTCGGCGTCAAGAAGACGACGAACGGTTGAGGAGGAAGATGAAGAAGAAGGAGCTTGACGACGTGGGAAAGATTTGAAACCATTGGATGAACAAGAACTGAGATCATCGAGTAAGTAATCTCTTAGCATCAATGGCTTCAAACGTCTCTTGCTTGTTGAAAGTCTTTGATCAGAGGAACTGATCATCGACGCCATTTGTTGTAAATCTAAGTTGATGATTTGGTTTGAGTTTTTGAGTGATGAGAGTTGGATTTTGTTTTATAGTGAAGTAGAAAGAAGCTTCTATGTAAGGTGTGTGATGATCACAAAACCGAGGTTTTGTTTTAGATATTTCTTTATTATTATTTATTTTGAAATTTGAAGTTTCGTATGTGCTGAATTATTTTATTGGTTTTAGATTTGAAATCAGAATCTAATTAAATAATTAAGTTAAGATTAATAAGTTGAAGAGAGAGTGACCAGAAGTTGACCTTGTAATAAAACAGGAGACGAGATTCTTGCGGCTGAGATACAGTTTTTGCCTCTTCACGTGTGTGTGTGAACGTTAATAGTACTTATTAGTAGTATTAGATTTACAACAAAAAAAATTTTAATGTATAAAAGTATTAATTAGTGTAATTTCCAGATCTATATTAGCAGCTTCCAACTATTACATTGAAACTATAAAACAATTCTGATTTTTTTCAGAAATCTTTTTAAAAATGTATAAATATTTAGCTAAGTATTACGATTTACGAACTGTATTACTAGTTGAGAGTTGTTATTACTGCCGTCGTTTATTAACCATTCAAGTTTAAATTCTGCATAATGTATTAATGTATATGAAAAAACCAGTGACAAGAGATAGTATTTTCTTTTTAAGAAAAATATCAAAATATATAATTAAGACCTAGAAGACCAAAACTCGATTAACATAATTTAAATGAATCTTTGGTTCATAAATATATATGCTAATTCGGTTTGATTTAACATTTGTATCATTGAGTAAAATAAATTTACAATTACCCTTTTGCATATTAACATTCATAACTATAAATTACCCTTTTGTATATCATTGTAAAAATATTGGAAAACGATCTATCTTGGGTGGAACTGTATCAACATCTAATCATAAAAGATATCTACAATTAGGATCATGAGCTAGTCGTTGATGCCATTTACTTTTTTTGCAAATCTTTTCAAATGATCTTTGTTACCATGTAAAAATATTAAATTATTTATTTGTCAAGAAAACACTATCGCTAACAATATATATGTTGTATATCGCTTAAAAATTTTAGTTTAGTGTTTAATTATATAGTTTTTATCTTTTTAAATTTAAATGATTATAGTTATGTTTAAAGATTAATATTGATAAAAAATTTTAACGCGCGGGTTCACAATCTAATATCAACAAGTAACAGAATTGTGCAAGGCAAAGGCAAAGATAAAGACTTAAAATAGGGTTGAAATGGGCTTCACTTTAATGGGTCTATCAATCGTTCTTATTCGAGTCAACTTTACTAAGAAGACGATCAGTTGATGCTGGAGGATAAAACACTAACCCAAAATTTATAGTACAACTGTACAAGGATGTAATTTATTCTTCTCATACAAAAAAAAGATATATTAATAATATTTTCTTAATACTTGGGTGGACAAGGCTTTACATGTAATCATATTAGCCTTCAAAGTTGGTCTCCATGGGGGCTTTAAGATCAAGTAGGATTAATTCAAAATATTATTACACGTAGGATCAAGGTTTATTATTACATTTAAAGCGTTGTCCACCCAGAGTCATGTACTTTATTCGATTTATTTCTGTTAATGTTTGATCATTGAATACATTAGCCATTCATAATAAACTGACCATTTTCTCTGTTTTTCTTTGTTTTTGTTTTTGTTTTTTTTAACGGGCCTTTATTTATTGGGTACCCCTTAATGGGCTGGGCCTTTGATTACAAAATAAAACTAGGGCAAAAGAAAGCGGATTCTGCCGTCACCGGAAAAGGGACTCGCGTCGTATTGACACCGCAGCGCAGCAAACCAGACCATGAGGATCGGTGGATGCGAGATCCACAGCTTTGAGAAGATTTGATGTATCTAGTGAACGGGAATGAAGCATCCAACCCACCTCAACCGTTCCTTTTCCCTCTACTCTCCAAACCCGCTACAAATCTCCCGAAATGATCAATCACCGACATCGCAGCACGTTGTTGACGGTTCCTGGACCAAGCAAACCGAACTTCGGGCGAAACCTCCCCTTCCTGGATCGAACGAACATCAACTCGCCGGACGAGCTCTCTTCGGACCGGCCCAGAGGAAGCAACTCACGGAGGCGACGGGGGCCGATGGCTCGATCGGAAGCCCAGTCACCGAGGATCCGTGACGGCCAGCAAGATCCAAGAGGATCTCGTGTTAACCTCTGAAGCAAATCAGCAACTCACCTCCTCCTCCATTGACTTCCGCCGTGGATCCATTGCCGGCATGACGGTTGAGCCACGAGAACCTGTCGCTACCCCTCACGGCGTCTTCAAACCGGAGGAACCGGAGCAACTATCTCCTGCTGCCACATCGGATCTGGAGCCACGTCAATTAGAGGAGAAACCATCCCATAGCCGACGGAGAAGAGAGCTCGACCACCCTTAGAATCACCTTGAAACCTAAGGGAATTAAGCAAAGGCCACCAAAACCAACCAGATCTACAAAGGAAAAAGTTTTAGAGAGAGAAGAGAGAGTTTGCTACAGGAACGATTGGCCCATTTCTCTGTTTTATGTGTTGTTTCCTTCTATTCTCTAGCTACTTCACCCTGTTTTTTTTTAATTTACCCATGTAAAATTATTGTATGTTTTGCTCACATAACATTAAATTATTATATGCTTCGCTCACATAACACTGGAGCTGGAAGTAAATTCATATTTGGTGATTGGATTTCTAACTACATGGATAAGTGATACTCATCCCTGTCATTTCTAATATGTTTGTGCTATAACTTTCTTCTGTAGGATTGGATAGTCTGAATCTTTTATGTGTATCGGAAAGTTAACCGTTTCGCAGATGATTTGTCAAACAATGCTTCTTCTCATCCTTTGGGATTACTTTTATTGCATTCTTGTCCTAATTGTATGGTTTCTATTTTGGACGATGTTGCTAGGAGATTACGATCTCTCGAGACATGTTCAATTGTAGTTTTTAGTTTAATAATAAGGGAGACGTTAGTCTCTTCTTTTTAACCAAAAAAAACATAAAATTAGATTTGGCTACTTCAATGTATACATCATAAATCCCGGTTTATCACTTAACTAAACCGGTTTACTCCACAATGATTTTAACCAATGAGGTATATAAAGAAGAACTCAGTTCTTTACTTCATAGTTAACAGAATCCTAACGAACTCGAAAAGATTCTCTCTCTTTCTGTTACGACTTCACCGCCGTTTTGATTCTCCGATGGCCACCTCAAGCCATCTCCTTCTCCTCTTCCTCATCACCACCACCACCGTGACATTACTCACCTCCGCCGCTTCTCCTCCGTATCTCACCTCTCAAGATCACCAACACGCAGACAGAATCATCGAAGCAATGATCGGAGCCGGAGATTTCCGTGGCTGGGCTGCAGATTTCCTCTCCGCCGTCGACGACCAGTTCGGTATCCCTCTCTCCGCCACCATTTTCATCCCGAGCGATTTCGACTCCGCCGACGTCTCCTCCTCCTCCTCCTCCTCTGCTTCCACCGGTGACAATTATAACCCCCGTCGTCTCTCCGTCGCTTATCACATCGTGCCTCAACGTCTCTCCTTCACCGATCTCCGAATCTTGAAACCACTCTCTCGTCTCCCGACTCTTCTCCCCGGAAACTCAATCCTCGTCACTAACAACTCTGTTTCCGGTTATACACTCGACGGCGTTCTTGTCTCTGAACCGGATCTTTTCATCACTTCTTCTATTGCTATTCACGGTGTTGCCTCCACGCTTGATTTCTCACGTTACGGCGAAGGTGATACGCCTTTTGCTGATAGTCTCCGCCCTTGGCCTCCTCTTCGCCGCCGTCCCCGTGGACATAACGGCAATATTGAGAACGGTACTGATACTAATCAGACCTCTGCTTCTTTGTTCACTGCACGTTACTCGACTGGCTCGTTCTTGCTTCCATTGGTGGCTCTGGCTTTGTTCTGACTCTTTACTCCGGCGACGTTCCCGGCGTATAAACCGTCGAGGTTACACTTATGGCGGGAAAAATATCTCTGTTTGTTATTTTCAAGATTTGTTAGACTCAAGTTTTTTTCTTTTCAAGATTTTGTGAAATTCTATACATAATGTATAGTGTTACATACAGTATTGAGCAATAACAAGTTTCTTGAAATATGAAGAAGAATTTTTTTATTCTTATAAAAATTCACATTAGTGAAAGAATCGATCTTTTCTATAAAAGTAGTCATTGTTATTGTGTTGGAGTTGGTAAAAGTCTTGTTGGCTTCTTGAGCTTTTACATCACATCTACTCAGTTTGGTGATATGAAGAAGTGATATTTTTGATTCGGATGTAGCTTGGTTGGTTCTTGTGGTTTGAGTACTTAACGAGTCTATGGTTTGGATTGGGTCAAGAGGTTCACAATGGCATGAATGTGCGTGTAGAGAAGGGTCAAGTTGTGTAAAACATGAATAGGTTTTGAATGAATAAGAACAAGGCTTAACGGTGAGAACTGAGAAGAAACCAAACATTGAAAAACCTAAGCCTTGCAAGTTATGTAATTTCCAAAAATTGTTTTATAGAGATGTTCTCTTTCTTTCTTTATCTTTTTGAGATTTTACATCGTTTCAACAAATTTTAAGACGGATTGATTGGTTCATATGTTTATTTTGTAAAATCTTCTCCTTTTTAATAGAATCACCCATATTTTTCTTCATTTTTTTATAACTTTAATGGTGTGATTACCAGATATAATTGGTGTGGTTCTAATTAAGACTTTCCCTTAATAGATGATGAGCACAAAATTGGAACCAATGGAGAGCCAAGTTTTCAGGAGGTGTAAATTAAAATGTATAAAACAAAAATAGACACATCTAACTTTCCCTATATAAACTTGTATATGTTCACATCTTTTTCAAAAACAACATCAATTCGTTGACAACAAAATATTAAAAAAAAAAAAAAATAAACATCAATTCGTTCAAAGGCATATAAGATGAAGAAATCAAGCCAACCCTCTGCCACCATTGTAGTTATCTTCACCATCCTTTTTATAGGTTTGTATATTTATATTTACAATCATATGAAACTTTAAAATCTGTGTTAAATCAGAAACTGATGAATTTTTATGTCCGTCTTGAATATTTTACTACGTACAATTAGGGGTGATGGTGAAGGAAACGTTGGGACAAAGTACTTGTTTTGAAGTTCTAAAAGATGCTTCCAAGGGTGGAAAATGTGACTGGGAATTGTGTGGCTCTCTATGTAACAAGAAATCCACCGGCGGGGTTGGTACTTGCCGGCCAAAGACGCTTGCACCCAATAAAGGACAACCAGAATGCCACTGCAGATTTTATTGTGGATACGAAAATTAAACGTGGCGGGGAATCGCCGATGAAGGCTTCATGGTTGATCCTGCCAATAGTCATATCCTTGTCTCAAAGATTAAGCCATACTTGTGTAAGACCATCATCAAATCACCAAGTTTAAAAATTCATTGAATAAAAATTGGTAGTAAATGTATATATATATATATATATATATATATATATATATATATATAACAATACTAAATAAGTACAAATCACTTTTGTGCAAATTTTGTTAGTGTGTGTAATTAAATAAGTTTGAATTCACATATTGTGTGATTTATCAATAAAATAAAATAAAATATGTTTTTTAACCAGCATAGATATGTTATGTATTTTCTATTTTATATATGTTATCTATATTAACATTTTTGAAGTACCTTTTGTGTTCTACCCTTTTATTTTGTGATATTTTCATAATTAATCCCTTGCCATTGGATTAAATGAAAAAAGTTTAATATAAATTTTATAATTAAATCATAATAAAATTGCAAAATTAGAAATCAATATTTATTACATTTAATAAATTTCCTAAAATCTCTCCCTAACAAATCAAATATTTCTCCAACATATTTATTTGATCTTATTTGTTTTTAAAATTTATATTATTGCAATTTGAATTTTTAGAAACGGATGTATATTACTCAAACGATACAAAAATGGATGTACTAAAAGATTGTTGATAATTGTGTAGCACGGGTCATGTGATGGAACATGTTATAGTTTACATAATTATGATTATAGATATTTTTACGAGTGGTCTATTATAGTATGACTCACAAAATATTTTAGTATAAAATTATACTATGTAAACGAATATTATGTCAATATCATTTCATTATTTTAAATATTATACTTATTTAATTAATTTGATCAAATTAAAATTATATAAAGAATAAATTATCATATAATATTCTATGGGTTAAATCATAGAATTAACAATCAAAATATAGTTGTACACTGTTGTATACCAAACAAAATTAATAAAAAGAATACATTTTAGAAATGTTGTACCGCGGGTTAAAATCTAGTTTATTTTAAATATTAAACCTTGTACATATCTCATGATTACAGTTCACAATTATGAAAAGGGTGAACTGAGAGTATAGATTTTTTAAGAAGTAATTGGATACATAGAAGTAATTCAGAATTAGGAAAATAGACATTTATTACTGTTTGTGTAATTAGAGAGATCGTGAAATATAATTATTTGGTTTACCTGAAAATTTCCTAATAGAACTGGTATTAGGAAATAAAAGTTTGGATATATACAACTAGATTTAGGAAATATATAATTCTACCAATATATAACTTAACACGAAGCTCTCCGTGATTGAATAATTACTTTTTACGCGTTTTTGGCTTATGGCGACGAATTCACCGATTGATTTGCTTCATCTACCTGATGATATACTTTTGAACTGCTTAGCTCGTGTCTCAAGATTGTACTACCCGACTCTCTCCTTAGTTTCCAAGAGATTATGTTCTCTCGTTGCATCACTTGAGCTTTACGAAACCCGGACGCTTTTGGGACGCACTGAGAAGTGTCTATATGTGTGCTTACGTTTAAGTTCTGAAACCAAGCCACGTTGGTTCACTTTATGCCGAAGATCAACTCCAATCCCTAGCCCTAGCCCTAGCCCTAGCCCTAAACCTAGCCCTAGCCCTAGCTGTAGCTGTAGCCCTAGCCCTAGTCATAGCTGTAGCCCTAATCTTAACCCTTACCTTAACTTACGAGGGTTCATTAGCTGCTCTCGACCACAACCGAATCACACTATTAATGATGAAGAGAAGAAGACGTTAAGTATGGGCAATAGTATGGTCTCAGTTCCAACTTGCAATTATTATCCTCCTTTTGGGTGGCCTCGTGGAGCGATTGGTTCTAATATATATATGATTGGTGGATACGGCAACGCTTCTTACTCTTCTACGCTCGTACACCTCATGGACTGCAGAACTCACACTTGGCAAAAAGCTCCAAGCATGCAGATGGCTCGAAAACATCCCCTAGTAAACGTTCTTGATGGGAAAATATATGTAGTGAAAGGCTGCAGAAATCTAGATTCCTCGAATATGATCGAGTTTTTCGATCCGGAAACCCAAATATGGGAGTATTTGCCATGCCCTTACGCGGACATGTGCAAGAGAATTGAACTAAGAAGCATAGCGACCAACAGAAAACTTTACCTTTTTACATGGGAGGCAAGTGTGGTTTACGACCCCAAAGAAAATAGATGGGATGTGGTAGGATCATTGGATATAATTTTTGATTTGAATTACTCTAATTGTTCTTCTTGTGTAATAGATAATTTAATCTATTATACTTACGAGTTCTGTACAAGGATCTGGTGGTACGACCCCGAGAGAAGATCCAAGGGAACTTTGAAAGGTTTGGAAAAACTTCCTAAACTACCAAGGCATATAAGATTAGTGGATTATGGTGGAAAGCTTATGCTTTCGTGGGAAAAGGAAGAAGAGCTTGCTGAGAAGGTGTTTTGTTGTGCTGAGATTGAGCTTGAAAGACAAAACGAAGAGATTTATGGGAAGATTATGTGGCGTGACACTGTGCTTAAACTTTCCAAACCATATGATATTGTGGAAGTTCTTACCGCTACTGTTTGATGAACAAACACTATATGAGCTATTTCTTGAACATGGTTGTATAGTTAATTTTTGTTTTTAATTATTTTATATGACTGGTGATATTTCTAAGGCTTAAAGCATAATAACGTTGAGGTTTCTTTGACTTATATGAATACATAAAGAAAATTTAAAATTTATAACATTGTTGAAGACTGGTTTAATACGACTATACGAGAGAGGGGAATGAGAATTACGTGAGACAAGAAACGAGGCAGAGAGACGAACAGCGAAGGTGAGGTGCTACTATATATAGACAAGCAGCGAGGCAGTGAGGCGGACGGAGGAGAGGGACGACAGCGACATAGGCAATTAGAAGTGATCAAGAGGCGGAGAATATCAAAACGAGAATCGAAGAAGAATCTAAGCTACCTCGAGAAACGGCTGAGCTCAATTGGGTCTTGCCGGCACTTGTCTCACGGCCAGAAGGAAAAAAAAACGTAACCACACAAGACTTTGATCTTATCGTCTAGCCGGGCATGAGAGCCCAATCAAAAAGGACCGACGACGATCCGAGAAGGTCGAATCAATAAATCGACTTCCTTTAAAGCAGACAGACTACGCACTAACAACTTTAGAAACTTTGCTATACTAACAAAGCAAGCATAGCAAAGTATAAGTTTGAGTTAGACCGTGTATGAGGCAAAGACAAAGGCAGAAGTGGTTTATCCATATCGGTTGAATCCCCGAAATAAGCACCAATTGCTACCGGCCAATCGATATCATTATCATGGTTGGAGCATATATAGCAAAGGTATGGTTAGAGGTCAAATACACATATCTACCAGGTAGGTGAAACGAATTCCAGACGCATATCGGGTAATGAGCCTCCAATTACTTCAGCCTAAAACGAAGTCTGAGGTCGGGTCAACAATCTAATAGGTTGCCTTCCCCCGTTCGAGAGTCAGAATCCTAGGCAGGTGAAGATCCACTAGATGGCGGGAGGAGTGGCTTTAGAACCGAAAAAGTCAGAAATTCCAGAGACGGTTGACCGAGCGGTGACATCAGAGGAAGGAGCACTGATGGAAGATGCATCCATTAGCTAGGGACACAAGGGCTCTTCTCTGGTAGTGGAGTCTAAGATCAAGCCAACTAGAGAGGTAGGAAGAGGAGAGGCATAACTGATTGATTGTTGTTGACTTTTTTTTCCCGGTTCTAAAGCGAATCACATAGAAATGGGGGCAAAAGAGCAAGAAGTAGCACCTACAATGGACCGGGTTTACCGACTAGTGTCTATGATTGATCCAATCCCCCCAACAGTTCAATAGCCGCTTCCGCTTCAGACCGTGTAACAAGTTCATAGTGATCCCGCATAGGCATCTGACTTTCTTAGACAAAAGCGGGATAGTGAAATAGACGTCTAGTCTTCGAACCCAGTTGATTGATCTCGACTTTACCTACTCGTGAACGGGGCATTTATTAGACTTGAGCAGTAGGTTTTGACCCAACTGTCTTGATGAAGATTGACTTCAGCCAAAGAGAATGAATTGACTTAGGGAAAAATTCCTATGTGCTCGATCCGATCAACGAAAATAAATCCTGAAATTACATAAAGAAGCACAAGAATCTTTACTGTTGCATTTTCGATTGAGAAAGTGACAGGCCAAAAGAGCTCTATTGTTGTGCCTTGCAAGGTCGTAGAGTCGGTAACCCTCGTTCACCTAAAATGGAAAAGGTCATTGATTGAGACTAAGGAACGCTAGCTATATGCTTAACACATGCAAGTCGGTCAGTTCTCCCTTTCTCCTATCGTCTTGGCAGGCAAGCTACCTTGCTTGCATTCTATAAACGGTAACTTCCGCGCCCTTCTTGCCTGCTTAAATTGATGTGAATTGAATGATGGTGACAGCTCATCAAATTCTATTCAGTCTGATTAGATATGTCACTGAAACAATCCGCTTTGTCTCAGTTTGATTTTTGGATTCCGAGAATGAGCCAGACGACGAAGCCTCCTCCTCATATAAAGATGTCTCAGACGCTACTCTCCCGGCAAGAACAACTTATTATGTTGTGATTTTTGTGGCGGGTTCGGTCATGAGGAATAAAGGAGAGATGCTTTCTATAAGTCAAAAGGGAACTTTGTCTCCCGCCTTGCTCCCACGGCCCGTTTACCGAGGAGTAGAAAGGGAGGACCGGGGGGTCTAGAGCAAGTAGGGTTGGGTATAGAGCCGTAAGCGCGGTGAGGTGTGAGGGAGAACGTGCTCATACGGTTCATAGAAGGGTATGATCAACTCGTTAATTGTTGGTAACTTGAACTCCTTTATATTCAAAATATGCCTTTCTAGGAGCATTACGATCTGCAGCTCAAATGGTCTCTTATGAAGTCTCTATTGGTCTTATTCTTATTGTGCGCCTTGTGAGCGCGTTTGTATCTGCGAAGGCAATCATCGCTTGGATGTTCCCCTAACCCAACCCGGATGGACATGAGGGCACCGCATCATGGGTAATGTCTGCGTCTCGTCGCAAGGCTCATTTTGAGTTGTGGGTCATAGGTCGGGGAACACGGGTCCTGGTACTCTCCAGGTGCGAAGAACCCTGGAGGTGACTACAATGAGCAGAAATCTCACTCACCGGCCTAAACGATGTGAAAACACTCGTGAGAGCAAGGGATCACCCATACGATTAAGCAGATACAAGGATAATAACTAGATATTCAAACGAGAGAGAGAGATAACAGTGTCATGAAAGTAGAGACAACAAACTCATGGAAGTAGAGACAACAAACTCTTGGAAGTAGAGATAACAGACTCCTGAAGTAGAGATAACAGACTTTTAGAAGTAAAGAAAACAGACTCTTGAAACTAAACACGGAAAATCCAAACAAACTTGGTAAAAATTTAATTAGATAAACCTAGATAACCATACATCAACTCCCAGTACTTGGCGGCAGTGGTAGAGAGGATTATCTGCTCCTCCCAGTGGGATATCTTGTCCTTGATGCCCCAAAATTTTCCATCTTCTTTCTCTGCTTCATCCTCTTCCTCCTTAGCCCAGATTTCCATCTCCTAGTCTGTCACCATTGGTCCTCTCTCTAACTCTGAATCTTCTCCCTGACGCTTCTTTTCCCACTTCTTCTTCCAGTACTCTGCCTGAAGCTTCCTTTCCATTGTCTTCTTCACCAACTTTAGGTGTTCCTGCTCATCTTCCTGCTGGATCGTTTTAGCCTCTTCTTCCAACTTCTTCAGCGCACCGTACGGATTGGAGTTCTCCTATGAGGGCAGCGACAGCGACTGGGCAGCGACGAGGATGGAGACGGAAGCGACGAGGATGATATTATGTTTTACTGCATGATCTAAATGTTAATAGATAATAAAAAAAAGCGTAACCACACAAAACTAATTTCTAAATCACAAACAAAAAGCGTAACCATATTTAACTGAAAGGAAGGAAGCAAAAAAATTAGGGGGAATGGTTATAAATACCATTAAAATGGTATAAGTTTTATTTTTCAATATACCACTAAAATACATATTTATAAAAAATACTATATAACTAAAATTCATTTTTTGTTACCACGCAAAACTAATTTCTAAACTACAAAAACTCTAAACATTACCCATAAAAAATACTTACATCTAAATAGTAAACATTACCTTGTGTGTTCCATGATTGCTTGCTTAGTTGTGTACTTGCTTATTTTATTCCATGATTGCTCGCTTGTAGATTTTTTGTTTACTTATAATATTAATCTAACATTTTTGGTTTAAAATTAGTTGAGACAGCAAATTGCAGATACCAAACTTGATATGCTAGTCCTAGCAGAGAAAGTTGTACCACTTGTTGTCATAAATCAGATAAAGCTATCTTAACACATCTTGAATTAATAGAAAAATGTCTCTTTTAGTTTATTTGAGTTGTATAAATATTTTGGAGTGTGCATTTTAGGTACACCACATTCTGTAAGTACATTTTGTATTAAAATCTATTTTAGGTTATAACTTTTTATTTTGTAATATTTTTATAATCAAGCACTTGCCATTTAAATAAATAATAAAATTTAAAAGTAAATTTTGCAATTAAATCACAAGCAAATCACAAAAATGGAAACAAATATGTATTACATCAAAACAATTTCTCTCTCAAATAAATCGGATCTCTCTCTAATATATTTATATAATCTTATTTATTTTTAATTTATATTATTACTTAAAATATATTTATAATAAAAAAGACTTCACACATTTTGCAATTTAAGTTTTTGTAAACTGGCGTATATAACTCAATCGATAAAGGAAAAAATATATGTACAACGTCTACACAAGGTAAAAAATTTTAGACAATAGTTCAAATTCTTTATAAATATGACTAATATGTTCACAACTACAAATGAGCTTGAACTTTGATTTCTCAAGTATTCAAATTAAAAAATTTCTTCAGTTTAATCTAGTTCTTTAATTAAAAAAAAAATAAAACTCTTAAAAAGTTTCAAAATTTTATAAATTTTATTTTTTAAAAAAGTTTAAAATATTATAAATATTAAAACTTTTAAAAGCTGCAAATAATATTTAATTTAAGTTTTATAGATTATTTAAAATATTAATAATATTTAAACTCTACTAAAATTTAAAGTATCATTAATATTTTAACTCTAAAAATTTAAAATATAATAATACTGTACATAAATATGATTGAACGGTTTTGAGTTTACACAAATATGATTATATTTTTCTTACGGGTTGTCTATATTTAAAATCTTTTACGGGTTAAGTTAAAATATAATTTTTTTGGGGGAATTTCAAAAATACCCCTTTTACAATACCACTTTTTAAAAATACCACTCTTTCTAATTTTATCAAAAAGTCACTGTAAAATATGAAATTTACCAAAAAAATATGTATAAACCTATATTTATAGACACAAATTATCTTTACATGTGTGCAAATTTATATATATATATTTCATAAGTACCATATAAATACCTTTTAAAAATCATATAAAAAGCTTATAAAAACTTTGTAAACCTTTTAAAATCCTTATAAAAACCATATAAATGCCGTTTAGAACCTTTTAAAACTTTCTAAATATTTGAATTTAGTCTCACAGTAGTAATGATGATCTTGATGTACCTAATCAACCATATAAAAGTTTATAATTTTTCATATTTGAAAAGGGGTATTTTTGAAAATGAATAGAAAAGAGGGGTATTTTTAAAAAAGGGTACACCAAAAGGGGTATTTCTCAAAAATTCTCATTTTTTTTACAACAAAATATATATATATATATATATCTATGAATCTACTTATAATACAAATTCATAAAATTACATTAAACTAAAATGAAATAAACACGTGTAAAACTGCACTATATAAACCAATTACGAAAATGATCAACCAAAAAAATATTAAATTATGAATCCGTGGTGTACGTGTGCAATTCATTATTTATGCTATGACATCTGTTGGATTGTTTTCAGATAATGGATACAAATCTTCATGGTTTAAACTAAACTAACAAAGGATTATTATTAGTATACATGCCTTCTTATCAACTCATTTTTTTGTTGATCAACAGTGACAAAGAGTGGAAGCTGCTGGGAGAACTGTATCTTTGATTAAAAAGCTTGAGCCTCTACAAAACACTTTGTAAGTTGGCATTTTAATCATTTTGTTTAGAACATCTATAATACATAGATCTGTTTGTTTTACATCATCTCAATAGCGACGCAGATTCACATTCTCTTCTTATTTATTTTCCATGAAGTAATACTTCAGTGCCAGATATACACATCACCATACAATGCATAGGGTCTACATCGAGTGTTTTAAAAAGCAGGTCATGTTCTTGAATCTTGATCACACTAATTTTTTTTAGTAGTTTTGAAACTAGATAGTAAATATTAAGCATATGAAGTGATTATTGTTGAAAAGTATTCAAATACTTAAACAATATTCTCCTTTGAGTTCCTCAGTAGCGTGATCTCAGTCAACATCTTGAATCTTTGGATACATTATTGCATCATGCATGTATACTTAGTACATACATTACATGCATACATACACATAGGCATTCACATTCCATGAATATTTGGTGCATCTTTGATTATTTTAATTTGTTCATCGTTTCTTTCTTACATGTTTAACTTGTTTTGCTTTGGTTCCTTCTCTGCTTAGTATACTAACTTCATTGTTTGTTTGTTTTGCTTCTTTCTTTGCTTCTTTGCCTCCTCTGCTTCTTTCTTTGCTTCCTTGATTCACCAAGTTTAATGTTTTTTGTTTTTCTTGGGTCAACCTGTTTGATTGCTTATTTGATTCTCTTCTGATTAGTGCATTGTTTTTTTTTCTTTGCTTCGTTAATTCCTCTGTTTAGCGCATTGCTTGCTTTTGTGCTTCCTTGATTCTTATGTTTAGTGCATTTTTGTTTTTATTTGCTTCCTTAATTCCTCTGCTTAGTTTCATATATTACTTGGTTCCTTTATTCCTCTCATTACTTGCTTGTTCCTTTGATTTTCTCTATCGTTTTTGTTGTTACATGATTTTGTAGTGTGTTCACTTAGGGGTAGGCATGACCAAAAGCTTACCTTAACCGTATTTTTAACCGTAACCGGACCGTTTATCAACCGTAACCGGACCGTAACCGTATAAAACGGTTAAAAATTGTAACCGTTAACCGTAAAAGTAAATTAGGTACGGTTAAAAAATAATAATAACCGTAACCGTTAATTAACCGTAACCATAATTAACCGTAATTAATCGTCGGTTAACCGTACGGTTAAACGTTCGGTTAACCGCATATTTAAATTTTTAAAATAAATTATATTATAACTGTATACAATACACAGATTTAACTAATTCACTATAAATAATTGAAATCAGATATATTTTTTACTTGTAAAATAAATAATATTTCATAAAATTTTATCTCCAATATTAATATTATAATAATCATCAAATAACCGTAACCGTATTTAACCGTAACCGTAATTAACCGTAACCGTATATAACCGTAACCGTCTTAACCGTATATATAATGATTAAGGTTATGGTTAAAAAATTATAACCGTTAACCGGTGGTTAATTAACCATAACCGCATTAACCGTAACCGTGGTCATGCCTACTTAGGGGTGGTTATTGGTTAGTGATTTATAGAGAGTTTTAAAGACTTCAAATGTTATGTAAAATCACTTGTTATTCAATCAAGATTTTATTAAACTCTTTTAAAGTTTGGTGTTATTGGTTACTGATTTTTAAAAACACACTAGTGATGGACCCGCACGTACGTGCGGGGTTATTTTTACAAAATTACGATTTTTTATGTAGAAGCTATTTTGGTAAAATTTTGTTTTATGAGTTTATTTGATAAACTATATATAGACATATAGTTGTAAAATATAGATATTGTATTACATAATAAAATTTTAAAATTGTAATTTTAAAATAATTTAAATGAAGATAATAAGTGATATTACATGTTTATTTTTTTATTTAATCAAAACATTTCTAACTGCTTGCTTAGAGATGTTAAATCGGATTTGGGTTTGGCTTTAGTTTGAATTGTTTTATGTATAGTTTAGAATTGAAAACCTGTCATGTCCCTTTCTGTCTCGTCCTGACCCGTCCCGTCCCGTCCCGTCTTCTATCTGTCATAAAATTTCTGTCCCGTAATCGTTTCTTTTTAAAACATAATCATTTGCCAATGTTTATTATAAGAAACTTGGTAAAAGATTTAGACAGGATACCCGTATTCCTCGTTTAAATATTCCTTGTTCGATTTTTAATTTTATTGATCTTTCAGTTTCATCTTTATTTCTCATTACTTTCTTCAATTCAAAGATTCATGTTTTAGCCTTTTTGTTTTCTAAAGATTTAGGTATTTATATTTTTTTTAATACATGGATTTATTGTAGTTTTGTTATCCGAAGTATATGTTATCTTCTTGTACCTGTTATTTCATGTCCAAATATTTGAAATAAATAGGAAAGTGTAAATTAAACTTACCAATTTAAATTACATGTCCCCGTATCGTACTCGTAGTTTTATATTTGAAAGTTGAAAGTGAATTTAACTCTATGACCGTGTCTCATAACAATTATATCTAATCATGTTTTTTTTTTTATGAGAAATAATTCAGATAATGTTTGTTTTTGAATTATATGTTCCCGTATCGTATCCATTCCTATAAGTTTATATATTTTTTAAATAAATAACACAATTTACATGTAACTAAATATAATTTTAATATATGTAAAATTTCATATAATCGTCCAAAAGTAGATATTTATACGTCCCAAAGTTGAATTTTGTTCAATATTTTGAGATTTTGATAATTAAATATAACTACCAATTTTTTTTATTTCAACCGGTTATCCAAAACTTATATATCATCTTTGTCAATGATAGTTTAAAATTGTACGTATATGTGAGATAATATTTGTAGATATTTATTTATTATATCATTTATATCATACCAATTTGACATTTTATTTGTTTTTAATTAGATTAAATCATGAAAAATATAATCCATTTATTATTTAAAAATTGGTAATAAGTCGTTAAAATCATTTAAATATGATACATCCACTTGTTATTTAGTTTTAATCTTTATAGAAATTTTATATGTTTATAATCTCAAAATGTAGTTTATGATTTGATAAAACAATTATTTAATATTTGATGATAGTAATGATATGCAAATTTTCAATGGATGAAGATTTATTTTGTTAAGATTGTGTGAAATTAATAAGAAAAAGAAGTTTAGAATAATCATTAACTAACTGTTTGACCAAATAAAAATCATTAACTAATTGAATTAATGATAAATTTTGTAGATATCATTTGTGCTATAATTGCTAGATTGATTTTTGAATATGAATATTTTTAAGAGAATTTTGAGAAATACCCCTTTTGGTGTACCCTTTTTAAAAATACCCTCTTTTCTATTCATTTTCAAAAATACCCCTTTTCAAGTATGAAAAATTATAAACTTTTATATGGTTGATAAGGTACATCAAGATCATCATTACTACTGGGAGACTAAATCCAAATATTTAGAATGTTTTGAAAGGTTTTAAACGACATTTATATGGTTTTTATAAGGTTTTTAAAAGGTTTACACAGTTTTTATAAGCTTTTTATATGATTTTTAAAAGGTATTTATACGGTACTTATGAAATATATATATAAATTTACACACATGTAAATATAATTTGTGTATATAAATATAAGTTTATACATATTTTCTGATAAATTTCAAATTTTATTGTGAGTTTTTGATAAAATTAGAAAGAGGAGTATTTTTAAAAAGTGGTATTGGAAAAGGGGTATTTTTGAAATTCCCCATTTAATATGTGAAAATAAGAAATTTATGTGATTTAGAATGTTTATTCGCATGATTTTAGCAAACAAATATTTAATTATTTATTTATTTAAATTTTATTTATATTTTAAAATTACATAATTTTTTAAAATTTGATGATATGATCAATTATGTA